ATTTTTTTCGACTTATAGGCATCAAGTATTTATTAAGAGTAAGTGTAACGAGTGATCGTTTTTCTCCAATCAGCAACTATCGTCACGAACTACAGAAGAGAAAAAGACTGAATGAAGTACCGTATGAGCAATCATACTGAAGTGAGTTTAATGCATGTATATCAATGATGAAAGAATTCGAATCGATGGAAAGATTGAATACATAGAGATGATAGGATAAAATGACAAAGCATAATAAAATTCAGAAAGATCTTTTCAGCTTAATGCTTATTATGGTCAAGGTCAGTATTGTTTTTGTGCTGTTTAAAAAATCGAACTGATCTTCTTTGAATCTATATTACTCATTATGCAAAGATGTAGGTTAGTGAATCTGGGCATCGATATGAGCGAGTGCAATTCGTGCATTCTGGGAATGAATGTGTGAGCCTTTCTTTGATCGACACGTACTTCCACCCACACTCACATCTCGCACCCATCAATTAGATTTCACTTTGGATTTTCTCTGCTATTTTAAGGACACAGCGTGATTTTTTCGGCCCGATCTTGGGATTAATGTAAGTCTTCTTCCATGCGAACCCAGCAATAGCGTGTTATGTTCTGAAAATAATCAATAAACCTGCTTCTTCGAACGTGATTGAACAATAGAAAAACCCTCAATCTGTCAGATTCCAACATGAAGTTGAGTATGGTCTGGCGTATGTGTGGTTGCTAACATTGGTAAGCTATCAGCCCTAATTATTATGCAGTGAGAAATCCAAACCGAACATCTCAGAGTTTTAGTATTGATACATGCCTATCTATGGAAGAATAGAATGAAAAGCCTCACTTGTAAAAGGTGGTGTAATGAGCTGATATGGCGGTTTTGTTTCTAGTAATTCTATTATATGCAAACCATTAGCTTCAGTCCGTTTTCCCAAGATCCGTAGATAAGTGCCAGGCATCAGAAGTATTTCTTTCTCTTCTTTGAAATAAGAATATGACTCGATGCAGCGGCCACTGATACATTCTATCTTAAAAAGAGTGCATTCTTCCGAGCTTTTTAGAAACTGGTCCGCCACATTCCTGCTTTCTGTGCATGAGCTGAATCCCCACCATATTTTATATTCTTTGTATTCATTATTCATATTACCGCGAACAGCGCGCCAAAGTGTTTTCTTGATGGGTGGTAACTTGTACAGAGCGGTAAGAATAAGTTTGAGGTAGGAGAACCATGGTTTCAGTTCGTTTCGTCTCTCATCACGTAGCGCTCGATTGAGAAGCTTGTACAGGCTATCATGCGTGTCAGGCCATTGTATCGTGTAAATATGAATAGCGGCTGATTCATCAGTGGTGATACCATCTGGTGGCTCGTTGGAGTTCTGCAAAGCTATATCTACCATTCGATCAGTATTATGCAACAAATTTTTTATTGGCTCAATAGCTTCTTTGAGTGATACTAAATCTTTCTTCTCGTAGCCTTCGATTGGTATTAGCAGTTTACTGGGTTCTTCTCCAGCATCAATAAAACGATGGATTCTAAACCCATCACCCATATTTGTAATCGAATAACTAGAATGAAAAACAAATCAAAGGTAACCACTGCGTATTTTTCTCTCTATCAACACTGCTTCCTTCAACTCAATATTTATAAGAACATAATAGGGTAAACGATTGAGACGCTGGGCAAAGCGCTGACGAAAAAATCAAAGAAAAAGGATAAACCGAAACAAGAACTCTTTTATTAATATTCATCGTTAGTGCCTCTGTAGACCGGGTTGATAATGCAAAGAAAAAATATATCAGAAATGGATAGATCGAGTAAGATAACTCAAAAAATAAGAGTCACACAGTCAAAAATAAAAGTATACGCACAGCGACATTTAACTTTAAAGAAGAATAGAAAGCATGACGATTGAGAGACAGAGAGAGAGAGAGAGAGAGAGATTAAGGTAACGATAGATATAAGAATGGAAAAAAGCAGTAGTCACTCACTCATAGCTAGTCAATTTTTCTCGTTTCGTCATTATTATACACGCTATTAATAATACAGAAAATTCAGATTCATTTTACCTATGATGCAATAAATCAACAGAAACAAAGTGGTAAGATTATATTGTTTACGAATCGCCCTGCATACTATGACGTAAAATGGGTCACTAATAATCATTTTAGTTTACTACAATTCGTAAACGGCATTAGCGTATAACTTTTTCTTTTCTTCGAACTGTTGTATTAAACGAAAACTGAATAAAAGAATTTTCTGAATTGTGCTTGAGAACGAGACAAGTGACTACATGGTTGAAACTTAGTAACTACTATGTTCCTTATGGCTGAAAACTGTTTGATAATAATATTATATATCAGAAACATTAGATTCACCAGTAAAACACATTGAAACAGAATGTTTAACGTGTTCTATCATACTAAATGGATTATGTTCAGTGGAAGTCAGACCATCTATGCTTATCTCTGAAACTGCCATGAACCGCGGATTTGGTGGGCTTTTTGAAACGCATAAATGGTCTGACTACCGTTATATCCAAAAACCACTTCAACTCAACAGGAGCAGGTGTGTCGACCATAACCTGTACCTTGAAGGTTTCAGGTGTGGCGCCCTTCGAGAGGCAGTGTAGTGAACTCTCCCGAGCTCCATTTCCACAAAATGCCTCTGTAGTGTTGTTACATTATGTATGTGACATAAGTGAAAATTTGCCAGAATTTGTGGGTGTGGGTGTGGATGCATAAGTAGTTCTGATATTCAGTTACATCCCATATATGCCAAACTTGAAACTTGAATTCAATTGAAGATTTCAATTTTCAATTGAATTCAAGTTTGGAGTTTGACACTACTGCTACATCCGCACTCACGTCCTAGTATTAGATCGTCAAATCCCTCACTGTTCGCAGAAACGAACACAGTACGAGCAACCATATACTCAAATATCTATTCAAATAAATCTGGTAGATATTGAGTCAACACATACAGTAGGAGTACATACTGCTGTTTACAATCTCATGGCCTAATTATTTTTATTTAGAATATATTTCTAACATGTTGCTACAGTTTTAATAGAAGCGGCGCAACATTTTTTACTTGGGAATTTGACTGTTGCCTACCTGTGAATAGTGTGCCGAAGACAAAAGAAAAACTGTTTGTGCTTGTTCTGCGCACGCTTTAGTTATCTGATAAGTGAAATGAATTGTTTTGTTGGCAGCTCCTTGTAGAAGATTCTTTTTTCCATCTTTTTTCGATAGATTCACAGAGAGAAAAAGGAAGGAATATACTTTGAAATTTTTCGTAAGTACTCTTTCAGTAACAATAAAGAACAGAAAATTTGTGAGGCATCAACATCAAGGGGGGAACGGCGGACTTTTGGACTTGAAGTTACTTTCAGCTATTTGAAGTAGCTTACTTTGAATTACTTTTCAACTCCAAATTTTCCTGAAGCTACTTGAGGTTATTTTAAGCTACTTCTTCCTACTTTGGGCTACTCGAGTGATACTTTGAGCTACATCAAGCCCATCGTTTCCCCCTTGGTCAACATACAGAAATAAATAGAAGAATTTCTGCTGTTCAGAAATAGTGGTGCAATTACGAGTAACATAGTTCTGTTATCTTTTCTCACAGCTCACATTTTGACTCCTAGTATGATTGTCTTAAAGAGCTTATTACATTTATTACCACTATTTCAACATGCAAAATCTGTTACAAAAGATTTATTAATAGCTCTGAGGTACGAACCAAACCAATCAATCACAATATTGTACATATATTAAAGTTGACATCTGAATTTAATTTAAGTTTAAATGTTCATTTTGTAATTTTTAATTTCAAAAGTTCATGTTGAAGATTTCAATTCTCCAAGCCAGATAACACACATAACTTCTATCTCAATTCGGAGACGACCAGCACTGGAGCCTGTTGATTAAGACCCACAAGCTAACCCGAGCAGATCAAGATCTAGTTCCGGATTTGGTTATTTCTGTACCTGTTAACGCCTGTGTAGAACCTTTCTAGGCACCCCCATACCAGTCGCGATGATATTTGTGTATGCATAATGGTTCCCCCTGTGCGAAGAGAAACTTATTCTGTCTTCGTTTTTATGACAAGTTAAGATGCTTACCATAAGTGTTCCCAGGTGGATAATCCGATGCTGAATCTGATCGGATCTTAAAAAACCTGACGAACCGATAAAGCCCCATGGGATTCCGGGTTGAGGAACTACTAACGGATCCATAGGGTTGGAATCCGGCGAATAGCCGACCAAATACAACAACCGAATTGGATAGAAATTACAGGAGTCGAAGTCCAACGATATTCCTAAAGAAACCTATCGGATTTTGACTGGTTCCTGCAACAATCGATTGAATCCCAACACTAGGGATCCGTGAGTGCGTCCACAACCCGGATTTACCTAGAATCCGGTTGGATACAGCTATCGGATTGTTCGTCCTGGATTGAAGTATTGGTTAAATTCAAGCTTAATATAACTAGATATCCTTGAAATAAAAGTTTTTAGTATAATCTCTGTGCAGTCACAGTGTAAAACATGTCGAAACTGCTTTTTCAATAGCTTCTAACAGGGTTTGTAGTTGGCTGTGGGAACGATGTAAATGTCTACTCGATGTGTACACTGCAAAAATTCGTTTTAGATAGTATTGCACAAAAAAGCTTTATATATAGAACACTGCAAAATATTATTGATACTGTGTTTGTTTTACGACAAGTTTATGAAGAACTCCTGTTGTGAAAGTTGTGAAATATTTCCGATTTTATTTATGATCATACCGACGGCCATATGTATACAAATTACTAATAACCTATAAACAACGTAAGGGTATGGTTGAGTGTAGATGCAACTTTCCTTCATTCACCCACACCCACACCCACACCCACACCCATCAATATATTAGAATTCATTAATTTACCTTTATTTGATAAATTTTTATCACCCTCAGTTTTGCAAACGCCCGTAATATGTATCGCTGCCCACGTAAAAATAATTCAAGCAAAACCGCTTCATACCGCGATTTTCCTACCACACCGTGGTATTCGTATTAAATACCGCAGTGTTAGCAGGATACATCGCTGGCGGCGGAACTTATGCAAATCCTTCATGTGCTAAGCCCCTTTCTAGACACCATCCACAACAGTATGATACGTGAATATGAGTTCAGAAGGAGTCATTATATTGGGCAACTATATCTAAACAGAAATTTTGTTTTCATTTGTTGATGTTCTTCATTCATATTTTTAATACGGCTATCATAGATGCTGTTGGTTTTATGTGAAGCTATTTCAATAACAGATTGAAAATTTTTAACGCAAAAGAGAATATGGCGGCTGTTTTAATGATTGAAATTGATTTGCTGTTAGAGGTGGCTTGAATTCTAAGAGATTAATTTCACAGACATATTTAACTGATTCATGAAATTTATAAAAAAAACCTATCAGACATACCCTAATACGACTAATATTTTAGAGTTAATAATAACACAGTAACACAACCCAGGTCGAGCGATCTGAATCTCGGATCCTGTCGGATCCCATCGGAAACCTAGAGTAATCCGATATTTTCCGATAGGAATCCGACAACTTCCGATGGGTTCCCGTCGGAAGTTGTCGGATNTAGCACCGGATCCTGCGACCGGAATCCGAGAGAATCCTACCGTCGGAAAGTATCGGAAATCAAAGGATATTACCGGATTCCGACCACCAGCTACCGGTAGGATCCGACTGTCGGATTCTGTTGGATTATTCATGGTTCCTGTAGTATCCTATCAGGAAGATTTGACCTGGGAAAGAAAAAGTTCGAAAAATTCCTTCATTGTACCGCGGTGCATCAGATACAATCAAAAACGCGGTTTCTTTCTTCCTGTACCGTTGTTTGCTAGTATATGTGCTAAGACAAAAATGATGTCGTGTGCTAAGATTATCGCTCAAGTTCAACGAAACAATCACCAGTACAACCTTGTGAACTATTAATGTGTGTGCTTTGTGGAAGACTTGAGAGGCAAGCAGCGGTGTCTGGGAGAACAGATCGCATATGTAACATGTGTTATGACCCCGTCGCCATGTGTGCTCGAAAATCTTATAGTGGAGGATGAAAATGGAAGATTGTTATTAGGTTGCAATTGCTTTAAAACTTTGATAAATATTAACCGGCAAACACCACGTTCTCAGCGGTTTCATTTCACCGCGAAAGTCAGACCGTTTATTCGGTTTTTTGAAACCGGTGCTAACCGTCTAATTTTGAAAACCGCGGCTATAGACGTTTTGAAAAACCTAATAAAAGGTCTGACTTTCGCGGTTTGTTAATACCGTTATGAACCTCGCTCTGAAGCGGTTTTCAATGAAAATGTTTTTCGTGGGTGGTAGAATAGCTTTTTGTGTAATGTGTTTTAAAGAAGTCGATTGATTTGCTGAATTCACTTGAATAATTTAACTATGAAAACAAGAATAAAAACCGACGATTGAAATCAAAATTGTATTCGAAATACTTGCTTTCGTTTATTATCATCTGTACGCTTCTGTTTCTTTTGCCAAAATGCATCTTCATCATGAATAGTTTTCTTAATGAACTTGTATCTGTATAGGATTCACCACATCCTATAATTTGACATATACATTTTTTCTGTTTTTTGACTTATTACAAAAATATTCAAACTTTATTAAAATCTGTTGACTACTAATAAATAATATAAACATATCAAAACGTACGTTTGGTTCATGTCAATGACTATTCATATTTTGATGAAAGTGTTATCTAGTTTATTTGCCAAACGGCTGGCATTTATTTTTCACCACTACACAACAGCAGAAATCATATCCTATTGACAAGTTATAGCATCTTCATACACTAGAATGTTGTTTTCAACAGTGTTTGAATATCAATAAAAAAATTTCTTTCATCTGCTCATTGGTTTATTTGTTAGCTGGAATATTCAACATTTTCAACTATATTGATGTGTTTTATTCAGTCACAAAACAGATGTATATCCCAAGGTTGAAAAAGTCAATAGTAACGCTCGACACGCCCTAGAAGAGATATATTAATACATAATGTAATTAAAAATATTTTCATGACTTTTAGCACGTTACAGATTATAAAAACCAGTTGAGATTGTTTTCACCCCAGACAGATTTTCACTGGTACAAAAATCATCTTTGTAATTCCTATATAGTTATTCAGAGTATGTTTAATAGTTTAGCTGAAGATCTATCAACACTTTTTAACTGATCATGATTAGAAGCCATTAAAACATGACCATGCAATGCAAGATTTTATGATTTCCAATTGATTTTCATAATCTAAAAATCTCAAAGTTTAGACCTTTATCCTTCATCGAGTATGCAAAATCTCATTTTGTTTTACTTTTGAGGGGTACCCGTTCTACGAACAACTGATTCTTGCGGACAAGAGAATTATAAAAATAGTGCATATGTTTCCGTCAGTGTCATGCCACTTTCTAAAACCCATACTATCAACGTTTTATATTGCATAAAGAATATGTTTCTTTTCCTTTGAAAAACAAAACATGAAAAGAAAGAATTCTTTAGATAGATGGAGTACTATACAGATGCAAAGGGAATTTGAATTTTTTATTCATCAAACTCGAATGAGTCATTTGAAAGATTCACAAATCAAAAGATTTCTGGATGGAACATAGGGAAAAAACCAAGTGAATGACATCATCAGGAATTTTTATATATGTATGTTCATGAGAAAGTTTAGAATTTTTAATACAAGATATTTTTCCTTATGGCAACATCAGATAGAACACCTTATCAAATACTTGGAGTATCCGAAGATATTGACTATGTTAAACTACGAGGAGTCTACTGTGAAAAAATTCATGATCATCTAAAAAAGAAAATTTCTGCCATCAACTTTCGTCGTATTTGCCGTGCATATGAAACATTATCTGACTTTGAAAAACGGGACCTGTACGATGCCGAGAAAGAATGGATTTTTGAACTACCAATCGACAAATATACATCACAACAATTGGCTGCTGAACCAGATCTAATACGTGATCTAAAACAGCGACTGCGAAATGCTAATTTAACAAAATTAAACGCTCAAGATCCTGTGACAGGTCATACAACGCTTTACACTGCAGCTCGTGCTGGCAATTTAGAAGCCGTGAAATTTTTAACTGAACAAGGAGCAGAACCTGATCTGTCACAACGAACAAAAAGTACTGCATTGCATGTGGCTTCTTTTTACGGGCATGCTGATGTTGTTCGTTGTCTGTTGGAAAGCGGAGCAAACTTTGAAATAAAGAATGGAGGTAATAGTACAGCTGAAGACGAATCATATAATGCTAATGTAAAAAAAATGTTTACTGAACTCAAACAGATCGCTTACGTTCGAGCGGCTGCCAATGAGCTCGATTGGTTTTATCAGAATGGGCTGACACAACATCAGGATACAGAATATTTTTCACAACGTCAAACACTTTTACATTGTGCTAGTAAGAAAGGCTATCATGATTTGGTGCATTGGCTCGTAGAGCAACGTCAGGCTAATATCGATCTGGTTGATTTTAATGGGAATACGGCTTTACATCTTGCCGCATACGGTGGCCATCAAAAGATTATCCAATATCTTCTTAATTGCGGCTGTGATTCAACTGTTAAAAATCGATGGGGCACAACAGCTGAAGAAGAAGGAGCCATGAAACATGGTAATAGCATTACTGATATTTTTAAAGAAATTCGTGAACGTGACATGTTTGAAATGGCCCGCACTGGTGTAGATTGGTGGTTTTATTATTATTTTGATGACAGTTTAAAAGATACCAATGATACTACTGGTATAAGTTTACTTTATTATGCATGTCGTTATGGACATTTTTCTGTGGCTAAATGGTTATTAGAACATGGAGCTAATGTAAATATTCAGATGAAAACTAAACCCAAGAGTACTCCATTACATGGAGCAAAATATCGTGGTCATTATTTAATTGTGGAGCTCCTACTTGAATATGGCGCAGATGTCAATATTAAAAATGATTTTGGAACAACGATTTTCGACGAAGAAATTTCAAACGACGTAGACAATATTTCATCAAATAAAATTCAAGAAATCTTATTACAATATCAAAGTAATTTAAAAAGTGACAAGTTGATTGATGTACACGTGTATGAAAATGATGGTCAAGATGAGGAGCCAATCGTAAAAGTCAAACTAGGACTTAGATCAAAATATTCAGATCTATTAGCAGCTCTGTCGACCGTATCAGATGATCAATATCCTTATTTTTCAATTGCTCGGCGTATGCTTTCGTTCAAGGAAAAAGAGGAAACAACTATTATATCAGCTGTAGGTGGTGCACGATATGGTTTTTCGAAATTTATTGATACACCAATTCGTCTTATTGGTCACAAAACGTTACCAGATGGACATACGAAGAATCAACCAATTCATCAGGAGCCTAAATTATCTCTTCGAGAGTTTAACAAAAAACTCGACTCTCAAGGTAAAACTAGTACATTTTCATTAAAATCTCCTCTGAATGCCAAGAAAACTGTTCAAATTGGTAACTTGACGTTTACTTTCGCTGAGGGTTCTATAAAAAGTGATATTGAATTCAAAGTAATAGCACTTGCTACACCCGATCCTGAAACGTTTGACATACCTGGATGTATTTGTCTCTTTAAAACTGAAATTGATCAACCTAATTCTGAACTTAGTGAATTACCTCTTGTATCAATAGCCAATGGATTGGAAGCTCGTTTCTATACTTTGGCGCAACCTTCAACATATTGGTTTAGTTCGCACACTCGTCAAACTCGTTTACCTATGCTTCAAGGCATTCATGCGTTCGTTCGTCACATCGATATCATTCCAAATGCACTTACCCTACCAGGAGATATGTTTATTGCAGCTGCACTCGATCAACCATTGATATCACGAACGAATCCTGTACCGTGCACATGTTTGGTTCTTCGGAAACAGGATTCTAATATGTTTCCTAACATAGCTTATCATGGAACGAATATCAAAGTTATCCAATTCATCGTTCACGACGGACTTGCCACACCAGGCACGTTAACAGCTAATGGAAAACGTATCAATCCCCCATCAAACCATATTGCACGTGATGTAACCGCATTCCATGTCAAAGATTTTGCTGCTGCTATTTTTCTAAGTCCAAGTGTGCATTATAGCTCGGATCCAGTTTATGCAATACCATTTTCTCACGGTGATCTACAAATGATACCTATACTAGAATGCAGTGTAAAGCGTAACAGCTATGATACTTATCCTTCTACTGTGCGACACTATATTGAACACCCAGGTGACAACATGGATGCCATTGAATGGCGAATAAAATATCCAGCTGATATCGAAATCAATGCGATATTATTTATTACCACGAATGAATCGATTAGTGCTTCGAAACTGGCACGAATTACTAAAACTAGTTGATTTTCTGAGTTCAGTTAAAATCTCACGACTCAACGAAGTTTTGATTTTGATTTCGTCGTACAAAGTTTTGTGTTTTTATGTAAAAAGTATTTTTGATAATAAATGAATGAATGTAAAAATTGATTTTAGACACCTTACAATACCATCATTTATTCATCCTACGCGACGCAAACCCTAAGATCGCAATACGTCATAGTTATGTGACAAATCACAAAGAAATCGTTATTTCCATTTCACAGGCATACTCCAGATAGTCTTAAGCACATAGAATAAATTGATCATGTTCATTCAAAACAAGCTGAAAAAAATATTATTAACTTCCTTTTGTATAATGCACACAACAGAGAAAAACTTTATGTTATAATTACGAAAATCGTTGCAAGAAAATTGAGCAAGAACAAAAACACACAATGCAAATTAGGTGGTATTGTATTGCTGTAAAAGAATATCAACAACATCAGTGATGCCAAGATAAGTATCGTTATTGAAGCCACTCATCGTGACTGAGTAATTTACAGTTTCGTATCCAATTTGCTTAGAGATTTATCTCTGTAGAAATATGTTTCAAAAATTCTGGAATATTAGCAATAATTAGAACTCTCTTGTTTACTTTAACAATGTGAAAAAACACTTCCATAAAAAAAAAACGGTAATGTACACTTTTTATATTTGCGGCTTGTAGTAAATTACATATCAGTAAGCTTGAGAATTGAATTATCATTTCATCTGACTCGTTATTATAACCATACTCTCAACGGAACCTTTTTCATCTCTGTCGCAAAATACTGTCTAGCATGAAGAGAAATTGAGTTATTCTCGAGATTTAGCATAGTGAGTGTCTGTATTCAAGGATAGGGCATATATAAAATAGTTGAACGCGGTGTTAATCCTACTGTATTGTATTGTAATGCATCCGCCAGATATCGTGCTCCTCTATCACTGATTTGATTATATCGAAGATCAAGTGTGACTAGTGCCTATATTGATTGACCAAATTGCTCAGAAAATAAATAACATGAATTTTAATCTTACTCTATTATGTTTTAATGCAATTGATAGACTTTTTGTTCCTAAATTTTCGATTCGATTTCCCCAAAGATTTAAATTGGTAAGTGTCTGTATGAGATGATATGCATGTGTGAGAGATTTTATTCAAGTAGAAAATTAATCTTACTGCATTCTTAAGTAGTCCAGCAGCTAAATATTGTGTCCCTTCATCACCAATTTCGTTGTGTCCAAGATACAGCGTAGTGAGTGTCTACGTCGAATACTACAATCGTATATGAAATGAATCATAAGTGAATCCTACTGTATTATGTTGCAATATATTTGCCAAATATTTCGCCCCTTGCAAACCAATTTTGTTGTATCGAATATCTAGATGGGTAAGAGTCTGCATTCAATAATGAAAACACCCATTGAGATGTATGAATAGTAAACAAGACGTACTTTGTTGTGTAGTAACGCTTTAACTAAATATTGTGTTCCTATATCGCCAATACCGCTGTTTCCAAGTTTTAACTGGCTAATTGTCTGTATTAAAAAATAAACATATTAGTATGAGATCAATCAGACAGGAGATAATATCACGTTATTATTTTGTAAAAACTTGACTAGATATTTCACTTTTTCAAGATCGATGTGGTTGCCGAGCAATTTTAGCGTTTCAATTTTCTATATTTAAATTATCAAATATCATTTATATGTTATACTCAATTTTTAAAAATGAATGTTAAGTAATATGTTTTACCTGATACCGAGAGTACATTCGCAGGATTACATCCAGTCGCATGCAAACATTTTGCATTGAAAATAAAAGCGTAAACATGTCAAGTTTATCAAGAATACGATAGACAAGTTCTACCGGTAATGTTAACAATGAACGGAAATTTTTCTCTGCCATCGCTGAAAGTGTTTCAAAAGTAAACTTCTCTAAAACTATATACAGTTGGACATCGCTCTTTTCGCTGACGCTTCTTCCGACTTGCTTCTTTATTACATCACAATCTCTCTGTCTTGCGTAATGAATGACTGTATGAGAAAAGAAAGTGCTCTTTTCTCTTCTTGCGCATGTGACTACGCAGTATTAATAAACAAGTCAATTGAAAAGTGAAAACAACATGCATAAATAGAATGATTGATTTCTGGATAAACTATCCGATATATATATATATATATATATATTTATTTATTTTTGAATAACGATTTCCTATTTTGCTTTTTTTCCTATTTATAATACATAATAAGGAAACATGAATTGAACATTTATTTTTAAATAAACGTGTACATTTTTTTCGTTTCATCTTTAAGAAAAATCATTACATGTTGCATAAAAAAATATTTGCTTTATCGAAGCTCAATAGCATCCTCCAACCTAAAAGAAATTTTTCAAAATTAAAAATAGAAAATAAAGAGCTCCTTTCTTTACTTGTTCTTGATAAACTTCAATCGTATCATTATCTTCCATTTCAAGTTGTTTTGGTGTTTCATCATCATTGATACGTTTGCCATCAAAAAGAAATCTAAAACAAACTAACCCTTGAACTCAGCCATTAAATTATCAATTAAAATTTACCGTAATGTAGCTGCACTAACGCCTTATTGAAAAAGAGAAGAACAGTTGAGATGGCAATGAAAAAATAAAAATGCTTTTACCTTGCCGTTCAGCATAGGATTTTTTCAATTTACCAAGACTTGTTGTCATTTTAACTTTAAAATGAACTTCGCCTATAGAGAGAGAAAAAAATCAATAATAATCAAGGCGAGAAAATAAATACTATTGTCTTGTCCAACAACTCGAAGTTTAATATATTCCTCTGTTTTATTGTCAGTGGCCATTGTGTCAATTTAGATAATCAATGTAGAAGCTTCAATAGAAATCTGAAATTGAACATATTCTAATTCATTTTACCAGAAAACAGTTCAAAAGTATTTCAAAAAAGTATTAGCCATTGTAAACAATAGTCTTTTCACATTATATACCTGCTATTGGAAATGGAAACACTGACCAACACTACCTATAATTTTATAATGACACGTCCATGTTTTATTACTCTTCGAAATGTCATCACTTCTCGAAAATTAGTATCGAACCTTATTTAAAATATGTTTAAGAAAGATAGACAATCGATCAGGTTCATTATTCTTAAACTAATGTTCAATCAATAGATGTCGCCATACAAAAACAAAAATTGATTTTTACTCACTTTCCTATTTTTCTCAATTAAAAAAAAATATTTTCTATGAAAACTTGAAAATTATGACCTATCAATAGAGGTCACACATAAAGGTATAACAATGGAATCAATATGGCAGTAGACTATAACAAATGTTTTCTATTTCTTTTCTTTCAATTCAGAACGATAGAAAATGCAACGTTCAATGGACTCAGATTTTGAAGATGAAAACGGAATCTGTTATACATCGAAACGTCGAGCACATGCACTAGTTCAACACTATGATGACGATTCATTTCCATCATCATCTTGGACAAATCCAAATGAAAATGAAATTGAAGAAGATCAATGTAGTTCATCCATTGATTATTATCATCATGATCAAGAAGATATTGATGATGAAATATTTAATTTGCCAATTAGTTCAAATGATTTATCTGTCACACCAAAACAAGCATTACATTTAGCAACAATTTATGAATTTTTACGTCATTTCTCACCAATATTACGTCTGTCACCATTCTTATTCGAACATTTTTGTACATCTATTATTCAATCTATCGACATAAATAATATACTTTTCTCACAAATTCATATATGTTTACTTCGTCTATTAATTAAACAAGATGATGACGATGGAATAACATATGCATCGGAAACAGATATTAAAGGCATTATTGATTTATCATTTGTTACGATGGACTATATAACATGGCCCTATATATTACAATTATATATTACATCTCATCCGCAATTAAAAATGTTTTCATCAATCGTCAAAGAATATCCATTCAATACAGATATTCAAGATAAAATTGACGTTCTCTCAGCTCTATGTGATGTTGCATTAACAACGAAAACTATACGAAGAGAATTCGACGATACAAAACCGAAACAACACGATGACAATTGTAGGCAATGTCAAAAACGTGGTGATTTACTCTGTTGTGATCGCTGTGAAGCAACGTATCATCTTGCTTGTCTAAATCCACCACTGACCAGTGTACCAGTTGTTGAGTGGTTTTGTCCTGTTTGTGTACAAAATCAAGTACATGGTGTGAGCGATTGTATTCCCCCACGAGAAAATCGTCCGTTCTATTTACGTCATCGATGTATTGGTCATGACCGAGAACAACGAAGATACTGGTTTGTTTGTCGTCGTTTATTTGTGGAAGATGAAACCGGTGACGATGTACGATATTATTCTACATTGGATCAATTTGATGTTCTATTATCCTATCTTGATGAAACAGGACCCGAGAAATTATTAGTTTATCGTTTACAAAAACGTTACAATGATATTGCACGTTGTATGCAAATAACAGCCGATCTTCTGTCTAGTGAGTTTTTAACCGTTCCTTCGAACATTAAATTTTTCTCTTCAAATATTTAGCATCACTTCCATTGGATGATTCAGCATCAATGATAAATATGAATCCAACAACTCTTGATTATCCATCGGTGTTAGACGATGAAGAACAGAAATCATTATCAATGTTTACAGATGGTTTGACAGCATGTTATTTTGATGAAACAAGAGAAACACAAATTAATTATGAAAATCTTCTCGATATGATTAAATCAAGAATAAAACCGAAAGAGAATATTTTAGTTATGCACGGTCAGATAGATGGAATAGTCGATAGTGATGAGAAAGATACAAAACTCATGGTTAAAAAACGAGAATTTTTTGTTCATTCAACGAATAATTATGGTTGTTCATCAGTAAGTTTCTATATAGATCAGAAGATTTTAACGTTTCACCCGAGGAAGAAAATCTACTGGAAATCGATTCCTATGACGTTACTCTATTTTTATTATAGAAACTCAATGGACAAAATCACTATACGAATGAATTACCCAATTCGCATGGTAATTAAATGAATTTTTCTTTTATTAATAAAAATCGAGTTCTCGTTCTTAGATTTAATCCCTGTCTCACGATATAATTCATCGAATAGGTCTATGATAGAAGAACGATTACGACGTGTACATAGTAAGTTTTATTTAATCAAAATTTCTCGTATAACTTTATGTATTTTTTTAAGATATATATAATGAAACGCAGGTTGCACTTAAACGTTTAAATGAAAATGATATTGACGAAACCATCTGGCAACGCTATGAACAGTATCAAACCACGAATAAATTTCCTTCGCATAATCGTCCGTATCAAACGAGTCATACTTCCTATCCACGTAGTAATTATTATCGTGATTATTATACCGGTAATAATTATGAAGATGAAGATGGAATGTTACTTAACAATGAGTATGATGATTTTGGTGATGATTTTTTTCAACAAGAAGAAAATCTCGATGAATTCGATATGCCATTTAGAAAATATGGTAATAAAAAGTAATGTTTAAAGTAGCATCGCTTTATTTTTTGCTTTTTCCTAGAAAGTAATCGAGTTTATCGAGGTACGTCTCGTGGGCGTCCTCGTGGTCGAGGTCGACCACCATTATATGGAGGTCGAGCTGGCCGTGGTACTCATGGCCATCCACCACGTGGTGTTAATCATTTAACAACTGGTTCATTTCAACCAAATCAACGTTTAATACAGCCGAAAATTGAATCTCCAAAATTAATTGAACAATCACAACCACAGCAACAACCCGCAAGAAACAAACGCAAACCAGCTAAAATGAAATCAGTAACAGTCACCAATGACGATAAACCAAAACGACCAGGGAAAGTTCTCCGCAGTGGAAGAATATCAAGAAAACCTCGACGAGATTCAGAAACAGATTTCGGCTCAGATAATTCCGACGATAGCGGAGCAAAAGATAAAGAAACTGGTTCGGATGATGATGAAGAATTTGATTTAACACAATTAGGTATAGAGAATTAAAATTGTTTCTTTTTTTATTTCAAAAATTATTTTTTTAGGCCTTGGTTTTGGTAACGCATCAATGTCAGCAACTAAAGGACGTGATGGTTCATCTTCATCGAATGATTCATTAGCTGTAACAAATCTTCCATTGACGAATTTTGCTGCTTTTGCACAAAGTCAATTATTAGCAACAAATTTAGCGAATGGACTATTGAATACCAATGAAGAATTCAGTAATGATTCAGATTTTAGTGTAGATAGCTTTGAAACTGATGAATCTGATGATATTCTAAGTCAAAAAACAAAAGCAAACAGTGGAAATACCGATGATGAAGATCTCGATGATTTTACATACAGTCAAACAATGTTATCGCTTATTAAGAGTATGCAACCAATTCATGTTAAAATTGATCTTGATCTTGTACCACGCAATAGAAATATAAATAGTAATAAAGGTAAGCATCGATCGGACTCTGAAAACGTGAGCAGGCTTTTTGTGGTTACTAAATTTGATGGTTCCTAATTTTTTTAGACAAAATACTTCCATCCGAAGGTCATATTCGTTATGAAAATTGTTATCAAACAAATCCTCTCGCCACACGAAAACAAATGTTACTGAGTGAACGTGATCGACGTGCACATTTATCACGTAAATTTAGTATAAATAATTCGCCATCATTTGCATGGTATTCTCCATCATCATCTTTAACGTCGAATTATTCTTTAAAAAATCTCACCGATATTTTACGCATAACCTTAGTCTATTTTGAAAATACAATTCCGTTACCATTTATGCATTCCCATTGGAAACGCTATCGTTACATATGGGCTAAGCAATTACTTGATTTAAGTCAACATATATCTTTATCGAAATTAATTTATCTTTTACTTCAATTTGAAACTTGTATTAAACCAGTTTCATATTTCGATTTATTTACTGATCAAGTTGGTTACTTGAAATTTCGTCGCGAAACTGAAAAAGAACGTGATGAAGCTAAAAAAGAAGAAAAAGATGCATTTATACGACGAAAAATCGATGCTGATTCAATTATACAAACTGTACATTTTACACGACCATTGAAACATAGTGTTCATAAACAGCGTGGTGAAGAATATCGTTTAGCTGGCGGTCAAGGTTGGACATTTATTCGATCTACACGACGTACGATTATCGACAGTAAGAAAAAAACATTTGATGTCAATTCGTTATTAACACGCCGTGAAAATATGTCAAATGCGATTGTAAATGAACGCAATAGAATATTTAATTTACTTGAAATAAAACTTAAAACTGATCTAATCGATGATGCTAATATTGAAAATGAATTTAAAAATTTATTAACAACAGCTAAAAATGACGACGACGATTTTATCGATGATCTAACATTCATTAATTATAAAATAATTGATTATAATGGTATTTCATATCGATATCCGATTATGTTAGAAGATACAAGTCGACCATTTCATCTAGCGACTGCAACAAATGACAAAAAGAATTTATCGAACCCTTTTCAATTACCATTACCATGGACATATTCATTCAATGATGAAATTCCACCGAATATATTTATACTTCCACCCTATATACTTCGACGTCTTGCACGAGCATCTATGACATTGACAGATGCACCTGGATTTATTAATTCGCGATTGAGTGGCATTGGAACAAGATTCGGTTGGCCTTATCCATGTGGTAGACCTTCGGTTCGAACAGCATGGTGTTACAAAGTACAAACGAGCACGTCGTGTTTTGCACTGGCTCATCATATCAAATATTTATGGAATTGTATAAGGTTAGTTTGAATCTAGACTAATTGATTTTTGTTATCAACGGATCATATGAGTTTTTTTGACCTTCACAATGTTAGAGACAATCTACAGATAGATGTCAATGATTGGATTTATAGAGATTTAATCGTCGTATTCTATAATTTGTCTTATTTTTTCATTGTAGATGGGACCTGATAACAGAAAAACTCTCAAATATCGACGAGTCTTCGATCACAACTCAGGTTGATAATGATGGAATAACCACAACAATTCAAGTATTAGCTAAACGTGATTCCGGTCCATATAATTCCTATTGTGAATATTTTGTTCGCAAGACAATTCATTCACATATGAATGATTCATCAAATTTGAATATTCCAATATCGAAATCACGAAGTCGTGCTGTTCCACATCCATCATCTATTTTAACACCAAACCGTTTAATTCTCAGCGAACAATGGTTACCTGAGCGGCAACTTCAACCGAATCAAATTAAATATTATTATCAATGTTTACAAGACAAAACTTATCAACGTCTACATAAGAAAACAAATGGTGATAGAAGAAAATCGAAAAAGAAAGCTTTAACAAACACAAATCCTGTACAACAACAACAACAACAACAACAACCAGCTAAACCATTCATTGTCCGTATACCTCATTTACAACCGAAATCAACTTTAAACAATGAAAGTGGAAAAGTTGTTATTGTTAAAGCATCTGGAGATTCATCACCATCGTCATCATCAACAACAACAACAACAACAGCAAATCTTTCGTTACAACAAAAATCATTTTCTGTTGTTAAATTAGCTGACGGACAAATAATTCTTGTTCCAACAGCAACTGTTCAACAAAATGATAGTGGGATTTCAAAAATTATCAAAGCATCATTATCACCACCAAAACCTCAACCATCACCAACAGCAGTTCCGATTAGTCCACAAGAACGCCGCTTACGTCCAATAGCACCAGCTCCTATAGCACCTATTCAAACATCAAATGAATTACTCAATAGTCTTATCATTCAACAACAACAGCAACTTCTCTTGCAACAACAACAATCGGAGGCCATCATACCAATGGAACCGACAATAATTGAAGAAATTCCATTGGCAACTATTTCTGACACAATCACAATCGATACAAGTGCTGCATTAGTCAAACCGAAAATTGAACCGATGCCCATTGTTACACAAAAAACAAAAAATCTTCGCAAAACAATACCAATATCATCAACAAACGATGATAAAAAAATAAAAATTGATCCCGAAGAAGGCATTCGGTATGATTGAGTATTCAATTTCAAGACTAAAAATAGGGACTTCGTGGGAGACTGAGCTCTTCAGATATCACCAAAAAATATTTGGATTTGAATCTCGCGAAGATTGTACTAATCGTTTTTTTTTCTCTTTAGAATACGAATTTGTGAAGCTATTGTTCGGACACTCATAAGTAAAATTGAACGTGAACAAAATCAAGAACTAATGAAAAAACGTCTTAAGACTTCGCCAACAAAATTACCAGTAACGGATCATCGTCATATAGTTTTAACACGTTTATTAAATGAACGTGTTGATCATCTAAGAAAAGATTTCGTTACAGATCGTCTCCATCGTAAAACAGCATTAGTTAAAGAGCAAGTTCAAACTCAACGTCTCAAACAACAACAATTAATACTTAAACAACAGCAACAGCAAGCGACAATAATTAAAAAAGAACCAATAACTTCCGATGATGAGAAAAAAATGGTTGACAATCCAACAACACCTACCGTTAAAAAAGCAAGAAAAAGCACTGGAAATGAAACAAAAACTAAACGACAAGAAACACCAAAATCATCAGAACAAAAAATAAAAAAGTAAAACTAATGCAGAATCATAAATTTCACAAATGCTATTTTTATCTTTTAGAACACCAGGTAAACGAACGCGTCCGCTTCCGCCGACCAAAACAACTACTAGCGATCAATCACCGGCACCTAAAAAAGCTCGCCGTTCAAATGTTGATCTATCATGTGAAAAACGTGAGTCATCAGACAACGATGAAAACCTTCTAAAAAATCGTAAACCCTTGTCGTCATCATCGTCAACAACAACGATAGCCAACGTCGCTAAAATGAAATCTACTGAGAAACCAAAGAAAATCATAACAATAAAAAATTCGTCGAATAAAAAAGAAAAAACCGAAATCAATCTCTCAGATATTAATTGCAGTTGCCAACGAGTGGATATTCCGGAGAAATTTTTTATTCAATGTGAATTATGTTCACGATGGTTGCATGGTACTTGTGTGGATTTAACACCACGACTTGCTGAAAAACTCAAAGAATTTATATGCAAAGATTGTACATCTTCAACGCAAAAAGCTAAAGAACGTTTATATTGTGTTTGTCAAACGCCGTACGACGAATCAGAGTAAGCCGAAAACAAGAAGAGAAGAACAGTTTTTCCACAAACCAAAATTGATTTTATTTAGATTTTATATCGGTTGCGATGTTTGTGCTGATTGGTTGCATGGCTCCTGTGTTGGTATAACTCCAGAAGAAGCCGACAAATTCGAAGTTTATGTTTGTCCAAGATGCTCAACGGAGAAAAAACAAGAATTTCTTAATAAACCAATAAACAATGAAAAACACAAGGATTTATTAACTCTGACCGATCAACTACTAGTAAATATTTAATTCGACAAATAGTTCACATGCTCCATTTTGGTTCTTTCAGGCACATAAAATGGCATGGCCTTTTCAGAAACCAGTCGATATCAAAGATGTACCCAATTATCATACAATTATTAAAGAACCTATGGGTAAGAGCGGTTATCTATGGAATTGAGTTTATATTCTCACAGACAGGCTTCAGTTTTTCCCAGTGAGAACATCAAATTTCGTCTGCAAGACCTACTTTTGAGATATTGTGATGATCTTAATATCGAACGTAGATTTCTACTTTTTGTTTAGATTTAACAACATTAAAAAGCAAAGTAATGAATAGTAAATTTAAAACTATATGTGATTATATACGTGATGTTAATAAAATCTTTAACAATTGCCGACAATTTAATCCAATGAATTCAACATTTTCTCAATGCGCTAATGTTGTGGATAATTATTTTCGCCAACTATTAGAAAATTTGATGATTAAAGGCGATAATTAATATAAAAAAAAAAAGAGAATTTCTCATTTCTGTTTCTATTCTTTTTTTTCCGCGTTTTGCTTCTTGTTTGTTCTGAACTTTATTCTTATTTGATATAGTCCAATTATCTTCCCTAAACTATATATGCATACATATGTTGTTCTTCGCATTTTCAGCGAAATTTACATTAAATGTTTCTGTCTTGTTATATTTTGTATATTGGATTATGACAATAAATATATATATATATATATATATATATATTGTGCTTGTTTCATCCTTCTACCTTATAAAAATAAATAAATATATATATATATAAACTGATAGTTATTATTCTCTAAATATCTTTATATACTTATCGATAAGTAAAACTAAATGGGAAAAAAACTGTTTTTCAATTTGATGCTACTTAACACAATTGGAAGTGAATTGTTTAGAATCGGTTAGGGTTTGACACCGAGAGTCAATCACTAAACATATCAAAATATCGATATCATATTGACTGATTGCAATTAAAGATAAATACTATTCAATGTCAAATAATATTGATATGACAAGATCTCTACCTGAGACGTGTATAAAATATCTTGGTCGATAGTTTTTTTCTCTATAGGCGACAAATCCTTTTATGATTTGAAGAAAAATATTGTCTAGAAGATTTCGTTTAACTTCTATTTAAGTGCCAAAAAAGGTAAATTCAATACTTTCACTG